ATTCTCCACCATGAACAGAATCAAAAATAAATATGGATCCAGGCTGAAAATGAGCACCTTGATATGTGCTTTAGAATGGCTTAGTCTCCATTCAAACCCAGGTTTAAAGCCTTGCAGGGCAGCATAAAGCCCACTGCCAACATTAAGACAGAAAAAAGAAATCAAATAAGGGTCAGTTCAGGTGTTTTATAAAAAAAAGTTAGTCAGGAAATTGTCTAAATACCAAACTTAAAAAAAAAAAAAAAAAAAAAAAAATTGATTTTAAAATGAAAAAACCTTCTATTTTTTATATTTTGTATTGAAAGGTTCAATATATAACATGAATGCATAAACACCTCATTTTATTTCAGTGTTAAATTCTGTTTACTAGTGGTTGATTATCTTTATTTGGACACCGCTGATTTTTAATTGGTTTCTCCTGATTTAAATAATGAAAACATAATTTTATAGTTTTGCATCAGCCTAGTATTCCAGCATCTCTAGGATTGGTGAACTTCACCATTTATGTAAAACTGCAGCTCTAGATGACTGCGAGTATCAGGTTTTATTTGTGGTTTTATCATTGTTTATTATCCTGTCACCGCTATGGAGGATGGATGGGTTCACAATCAGTCAGAACAATCATATTTTGTCACCAAATTCCCAAGACAAAAAAAATACTGAATATTTGTCGCTAGTTGCTTTTTAATAGGTGTCTGACAAGCTGCTAAATATACCGTCAAATTCGCTAAGTTGGCAAATGTGCCACATATTCTCTCTGCTGGTAAAGATTCTTAGTCATCCAGGTCATAGTTATTCCAAAAAAAAAAAGTTAAAAAACTTTGTTTATGACTTCAAACTTGGAAACAAAGTCTAGTGGATTGTTTTTTAACTTTTTTGGAACACATTCTCTGCAAACTATATGGACCGGTTTCCGTGTACTCATCTTAACTTTTGTCACTTTAAGAGTGGAGCCAGCCTGAAAAAATAAACAGCATGTGATTGGCTACTTTTCAAGAAATCTGGTCTCTTCAGACAAGATTTCTGTTCATAGCTAGTAAAGTTAACAAAGCCTCTTCAGGCATCTTTTGGTTTAAAGAAACTGCAAAAAACTGAAATTTAAGTACGTTGATTTAACTTATAATAAGTGCATTTGTTCTTGGATTGAACAGGTAGTTGAGACTTTGCCAATAGAATAAGACAAGTAAGTAAGTAAAGTAACTGCAGTTTAAACTGCATAATATCTAATTTTCTTTTTTTTACTGATAAAACATACTTATTCCATTGGCAGACCATTTGATTTGATTGATTGATTGATTGCCTTTGTTGATCTGTGGAGAAATGGACTCATTACATCAGCTGAAATAGTCAAAGGAGAAGAAGAAGGTGCATCAGATATATACAGTATATAACAATGTGTCCACATATAACATTTTTTTATAGCAGGATTACCATACAGGGTTATAGCACTGGGTGTTTACATGGATATTTCTATAGATTAATATTGATATATATAACTATTGCACTGGGTGTGAAATAGTAACTGCACATTATACATTGCACAAGTTATTGCTGTTGTAGTGTCGCATTGTATAAACTGGAAAAAAAAAATCTAGATAAGTAATTTTTTTCATAAAATAAGTGCATTTGTTCTTAGATTGAGGAGATAAAAGAGACATTTTTTCCAATGAAACAAGACAATGTAAACTTAAAATAAGAAAACACAATTCCATTGTCTTATTTCAAGTGCATATTATCTAACTATCTTATTTTAAGATAAAAAAATACTCATTCAGAATAATCAATCATTGGCAAACCATCTCAATTACCTACTCAAATTAAGGATAAATACACTTAATTTAGGAAATGTTTACTTATTTCTAGAAGGGGTGTAAATGACACCCATCATGGCGATTCGATTCAGTATCGATTTCCTGACCCAACAATTCGATTATTTTCAATACTCAAGAATACACCACGATTCGATTCAATTAATCGGTTGTTTTTTGTTTTTTTTTAACACCTTAAAGGCTAGACAATATTTCAAATTTTAAATAAATTAATGAAAGCTGTAATATCGTTATGCGTTTTTTTTGAGAAACGACAGCAAATAACAGAAGTAGAAAAGTTGCACTCCACCTATTCCTATTAAAGCCTCATTCACTGAAAAATAACGATACCCCTGCGTTATAGATTCTGAAAAGCCTTGCATCAAAAAAATACTGCACAAAATCAGTGCAATGAGTGCAATACAATACGTTGGCTCCAGGCGTCCCTGCCCCGTCCGCTGCACCTCTCCCAAATTGTAGCAGACCACAAACAGGAGGCCGTCTTGTTTTGTTTTTATGACCGAAATTGCGGAAAACAACTCGTGAAGTTTGACCTGCTAGAAGAGCGAGCTGCGCGAGAACGCTGGGACCCTTTTTCCACCTGGATCTCCGCTCTTTTTGGCCCTCATGTCCCTTCGTTGTCGGATTAAACTCGCCCCCACTTCCTCACCGCCTCGGCCGTATCTAGACCCACAGCGTGTAGCGCAGACCACGCTTCAATATTGAGCATAAATCACAAATGTCTGTGTCAAGCTTACTGCGACACACTGCTGTAAGAGTATAATCAGGAAGTGAGGTAGGAGGGCAAAATAGGTTTAGCGCCACCGTAGTACGGGAGGAGAATTACATCCAGGAGCAAATGGATAAAAATAGACCGGAGGAAAAAAAACATGAATCGATACTCTTGCAGATGTATCGATGCATCGGATTGTCGGCTGTTGGATCGATGCATCGATACAAAACGATTATTATTTACACCCCAAATTTCTAAAACGTTTTTCCTGTATACAGTCTGCAATTTACCAATTCAAATTAAGGGTAAATACGCTTCTTTTAAGAATTTTTTTACAAAGTTTTAGATGATTCCTGAAATGGGGTTGTGTTTACTTTTGATGCATTCTAAACATTGCATGTTCTAGGAATCCCCACTTCTGGACATGCCGTGTACCTCAATGTCTTCCTTGCCCCCTTATCCCCTGTTCTCCCTGCATGTGTTCAGCTTCGTTGCCTGATAAGTGACTTTGCCATCATCATCTCCATCATGGTCTTCTGTGGCCTGGATTATCTTCTGGCGGTGGACACCCCCAAATTACATGTTCCCACCAAGATAAAGGTCCAATTTTCCCCCATGCATTCATCGTCCATTGTTCCTTACCTTCTGATTGCTGCTTGATCCTCTTTACCTTATAATGAATCATTTGTAGATTTCTAATCATGTTTTATTCATTATATTTAAAAGTTTGTTTGCACAGAGTTTATCACCTCTTGTTTTTCTTTTTCTCATGTTCCAACATTTTCTGGGCACATGATCCCAATCCATGTTTGTCCTCCTTCTGCTCTGGTCTGTGTGTTTCTGTGTTCTCATGCTGCTGGACTAGATGAGGAAGCTTATCAGTGATTTTGCCATCTTCATGTCAATCATGTCCTTTGTGGGTCTGGATATGTTGATGGGTTTAGACACCCCAAAACTAATCGTTCCGACAGAGTTTAAGGTATTTATTTTTGACCAAGACATGTCGAATCAGTGATTGTTTGTGATGTTTTGTTGTCTTTATATAGTTGAAAACAACATATTCTCATTATCAGTTTGTATGAAATCGTACGAAAAGTTATGCACAGTATTTCGTGGGTTTTTGACGTTTTTCCTCCAAAAAACATATCAGTACGCAATCGCAGCCAGCCAGACGAAAAAAGCAGA